GGGTGCCACCTTTGCTATGGCTCTTAACTCAACCACGTAGGCCAGATGAAGGTTTCGCAGACGCGAGAGCGACTGCGGTTCATTGGCTGGATGGAAACGGCGGAAAAACTCCTCCACATTTGGGCCCCAAACTGGGGAAGCGGCCATCATGAAGGCGGATGCACTCCCGAAATCTGCGAAACAGACACCGACGGAAGAAAAGGGGGCCAAATGTAAGAAGTCAAATACTATAAAATTGCGCAGAGGGTGATTGGAACGTTCGATTACATACAAAAAACTCTTTTTGTAGGAAACAGTTTCTAACTGTAGGAGGTCACAGTTCCCAAAATTATAAATTAGTAAAATGGTCAATGTTAATTCGCTCAATGAGTAGATCGTTGGGCTTCCGATCAAAAGATCGCGGGTTCGAGCCTCGGGTGGTGCACCGCCTAGGGTTGGGTGTGACTGGCTGATGATGGCTAACAAGCCAGAAAGGGCCATTCCAGTCTCCCCCGTTCTTTGACAGCAATGTTATTCCGCCTAGGTCATTAGCCGCTGTGCGGCTGCTGGCGGGGCTCGAGAATGCCCCCTGAGGCAGAACAGAACGAGTGAGCTGCGTCCATCTACAATTTTTAACATTTCTGACCGAAACCGATATAATAACGAGCTCGTGGCGCGGTGAATTAAAGCGTTGGGCTTCTCACCAACAAGTCGCGGGGTCGATCTTCGGGCGGTGCGTCACCTGGAATTATCTATGGCTGGCTGATGATGGTTAATAAACCAGAAACCAGTCTCCCTTGTCTTTGTCGGCATAAGTTACACGAACAAAAAGAGGGTTAAGAGTAAAAGAGTGAATACGCCGAGTGAAAGGAATGGGCATGAACCTACCTGAGAGGAGATAGTTAGCGCATAGTTGCACGGTGGTGCTTGTGTGAAGTCCTGACATTAGGCGATAGAAGAGGCGCTTTTCTTTGCATGTTCGCGTGTCAACTACAAGGGAGAATATATTATTTGAAAATCAACTTCTAATTTTAGTTTAGTCAGTTTTCTTATTGAGTTTTTAGTCTAATTTTAGTTTTAGTTTGGCTTAGTTTTAGTTTCGTTAGATACCGCCAAAATTAGAAAAATAGAGTACGCGCCAGAATTTGTGCAACATGCCGACATATGCGAAAGATTGATACTCCTTCGTTAATCGGCATCAAGTAAGGTTGTAATATTGATTATCCTGTAGCATATTTTGAAGTTATTTCAGTCATGATAGGATGCAGGCTTTTAACGAGCTTCGTTCTGACCAAACGTATGTATTGTAAAAGGTAACTACTTAAATATGTAGTACGCATGTTTATCATTGATTTTGACTGCCTTAATAAATTAAAATATATTTCATGGAAAACATACACGAAAAAATTATTTATTGTACTCGTTTGGTAGCAAATTACGCCTTTTTTAAATTTTATACTTAAAGAAAGGGTATTCTTCGGTTTTAGAAAAACTTCTAATTATGAGCTATTTTTACGATTGTGAGGTGTTCATTCATATTACATCGTATCCGTAAATTTATTAATTCTGCCTATACTGTACAAAGCATGTTCCATATATATTGCAACATTTTATGAGAACTGTGTGACTCCTTCCTCAAACTGTAGGCGAAAACGTGCTTTTCCTTAAACAGAATGTACATAGTGCGCAGTTTGTAAACCTTGAATTCGAGTGTAGCAGTCTGCAGGTTTAAAAATTATTCGGAAATCTCGAAACTTTTTTAAAACCAAAAGATACACTTTATTTAAGTATAGAATGTAAAGAAGGCGTAATTTGCTACCAAACGAGTACAAGAAATATGTTTTCGTGCATGTTTTCCATAGAATATATTTGTATTTAAAAACTAAAGTACACTAAAACTAAAATTAAACTAATAAACTAAACTTAACTAACACCATCGGTCCTGTAAGACAGGATTCTGGAGCTCGGGATCGCTAAGGTGGTAAACCAACTTCATTGTTATCACTGAACAGTTTGAAGAATAGAGGATGCGTTCCCGTGCGCTATTTAAAGCAAACGGACATTATAATAACCCGTGTGTGAGTTCCTGGTTGCTGTAGTGACGGACGCTTTTGAGAAGAGTTGAGCGTCTGTTTAGAAGGCATTTGTATGAGCTTCTGAACTCGAATGCAGAAAAGAAAAAGACAGGCCAGCCAGTACGGTGGTTGGAGTTTTTGGGTCTGCAAACTAACGCATCACCCCCTGTTCGTCTTAAGGAAGACCTGAAACTCGCACCACCATCATCATCCTCATCTCCGTTTTCGAAATTGAAGGTAATTTAAAAGTCATGTGAAGAGTTGACGCTATGTGAAGGCTTAAGTGTGTGCAAAATACCCTACCAGGAAGAAAAGTTTGAAGGAATTAAGAGGAAGGACCAAGATAAGCAAGGATTCTAAAATTCAGCTCAATGAAGACGCAAAAGGGAGCATGTGTTGACAACAGTCATGGTACCATTCAGTCGCCGTTGGTGTGACGGACATATCAGGGGTGAAATATACAGGATTTTGATCCTAGTGGGCTACACAGGACAAAAGATAAGCTAACGCAGCGGTGGATGATGACAAAACTACGCGCGTAGTGTTTCGTGCCGGTTGGCAAACCTCAAGGGCGCCTATACGAACAACCCAAGTTGAGTGAAATCTTTGATTACATCCGGCCGAACGATAACTTCTAAATCGATTGTGAGAAAATCTTTTTATTATTTTGGGTGCTAGAACCGGCGGAATCAGCCTGTAACCACGCCTGAGCCCTCAGAGGTATAATAAAGACCGTTACTACGCAAGCACAACCTACCAAAGCTATAGGAAGATTTTAAGTTGAAGACACGTAAGGTAGTCCAGACATAACCTTGTAGGAGCAGGTTAAAACGAGAACGGCTGAATAGGGCTATTCAAACCCGTGTCGGTAT